CAACTAATCGATAGTTGAATAAAATGATCTACCAATACTAAAATTTTAATATTATATAGCCCCGATTAATTAAATTAGGGAGAGCGAAGCCGGAAATTGTTGCTAAAATTAAATATCGGCTTGAATTTGAAGAATATCCAGAGACTTCTGAGGATGGTGTCGCTTGTATTTATAATGTAGCTGGTATGGATACTGAAAAAGCTCTTGAGATTTTTGATCTTAAGAATATTCAGTATTCTTATAAAGATGGAACCACCCGTAAAAGTGTTTACTGCCCTTTTTTAAATGCAAAAGTTTATAAAGAAACAAGAAAATGTCGTGGTATTAAAATATGCCAATTTGCAGCACCTGAATTAGTAGCGATGACACATACATCAGTGGACTTTGACAACAATCTTTTCAAAAAAATATTTGAGGCGAATGAATTGTCTTCAGATACAAATACGTTAAAGTAAGTTATATTTATTATATATATTTATAGTACATATATATTTATATATATAATATATTAATAAACATATATTGAATTTTTTTTTTATTAGTGCATTTGCTGCAGCACATAAAGTACCATGCGGATTTATTTATCCTCAAACCGGTATTCGATGTAATGGCAAGCCTAAACTTAGATCTCATTATCAGGTTTTTATATTATTTAAGCTATTGTCAATTAAAATATACATACGTACAAAAAAATTATGAAAAATTAATTATGACATGGGGCGTTATTGATTAATTGTCTAGTTTATTACAATGCCATGTTATAATTAATCTCATGTAATGATTTTTTTAATCTATATACCATATTATGTTTTGATTGACGATACCTAATAAAAATTTATTAATTTAAATTATTATCGTTATCGTTTATAGCAAGAAGGTGATACTTCTACACCTACTTATTTTATCGGTTGTGAAAATTTTAAAAATGGTGAATGTGGCCGTCGGTATCAAAGTTTATCTGGGCGAATTAATGTTGAATACTTAAAAAAACTCTTTCACGAACATACATATTATAGTGATGGAATTATTGGAGAAGTATTTATATTAAATTAAATTATTTAATAGTTAAAACTCAAATATATTAATTAATACTAATATGATATTTAGATTTCAGATTCTATTCGACATTGCTACACAGTTCACCCTTACAGTGCACAAGCAAAAAAATGCCGTATATATTTTTTTATTGTTTATTAATTTTTGTATATATCATTGCCAAAAATTAATTAATTTATATTTATATAGCTTATATTCATACTACTGAAAGTAATGAAGTAGCTCAAGGATTAATTCAAGAAAAATCAGGATGTCCTGTCAAATTCTGGCATTATGTGCCTGAAGATCTTGAAAATTGTCCGTATATTGTAATTATGTCACGATATGTTCACAATCATCCACTGCCCCTACCGTCAAAAATACCTGTGGCCATTCAAAATGATTTAAAAAGTATAATCGCAGCAGAGGATATCTTAGATTTAACGGCAAGAAAATTAATTACCCGTATGTATTTTTATTATCATTCAGGGCAGCTTCCGATAGTATTGTGATATAATTTAAACCAATGATTTTTAAATTCTAATTTGGCAAGAAATAAATTTTTAAATTTTTTATTTTTTGGAGTAAAATGTTTCAAAAATATATTTATGAGTAGCTGCGGGTTCGTTAGTAGAATTTAAAAAGTTTCAGATCATGTGATTTATATTATTTACATATTCAACAAACTAGTTATATGTTCGCTTTTAATTATCATTATATAATAATTTATATTGTATTAAATTACATGATTTAAATTTTTTTTTTGGTTGGCGATTTAATTCTAGTTATAAAATATTATATAATTTGGTTTGGTTGCACTATAAGTTTTTTAATACTATATTAATTTTAAATTTATTAGGTACATCGATGCAACGATTTCTTAAAGGAGTTCCACTTCCGGAATTACACCCATCATTGAATAATCGATCTAAAATTGAGCATATGATTGCAACAAGGCGTCGTGCTGAACATCCGTATGGTCAAGATATTATGGGTGTTGCATACATGCTTTTAAAGCAAAAACAGGATGAAAAAGATAATCCTTATATTAGATCTATTCGTAACAATTATTTAAATTTATATATGATTATATATCTTTATATATAATTTATATTTATATTAATCATTTATTTTTTAGGTTTTTTTAATAATGGCCAATATTTAATATTATGCGGTTATGAGAATCAAATAAAATATTTGGCAGATTCCTTGTATTTTGAAATAGATATGAGCTTTAAACGTATACATGGACCAATTAACGAATGGGAGGTATGTGCTTATGTAGAAAAATATCAAAAAAGTAAGCAGGTTTTAAATATATTACTATGTATATATATCAATAAACAATATATGTTAATTAATATAAAAATTATATTTGAAAGCTTTGGTATTTGCACGTGCTTTTACTATCCTTCAAACAGCAGATACGTACCAAAAACTATTTGAAGAACTTTTTGCTTGCGTCAAACAAGATTGTAAACGCTCTATAGAATTTCAACATATTCACGGTCGTGGAATTGGATGTATCTTAGCTGATGAGCATTATGGTCAAGCATTGGGTAAATTTTTATTAATTTTTATTGAAATTATTATAAATATTATATTAACGATTATTCTAGGCTTAGGTCAATATTTAGCTAAAAAATTTTCAATATTTAATGTGGTTGAACATTTAGAACGAATTTATAAATTATGTACTATACATTTTAAAAGGTAAAAATTTCTAATTATAAATATTTAAATATATATACGTATCTATTTAATTTAATTTATAAATTATCATTTTAGAAATATTCGGAAAAAAGGAACAAATAAAGAAATAAAAAAAAAATGTATTCATTGATCAAGAGTAAAACGGCTTATGAAATTATGAATACTCTTGAATTTCTTGAAAAATGTGAAGAACCCGGTATCATTGGTATGTATGTTTTACAATTATTATGCTGCATATATATATAATTTATTAATTATATAAACTTATTAGATTGGGTACAAAACAAAAAACAATCATGGATACTCGCTGGTTTGTCTCCTGCTTTTACTAAAATGGCACAAACGATTTGGACTAGTACGACATTCACAACTAATGCTGGAGAATCGGCTCATGCGAATATTAACAGAAATGGGCGTAATTTATCTTTATTGGCTGCAATTACCAAGTATGTGTATTAAAAATTGAGATTATGCAATACATATGTATGTACAACTTTTGCATATATTTTGGTATAATATTTATAAAATTGCTATTTTATAATTAAAAATAGAGCCAAAGAATTTGACAAACTTTAATGGAGTTCAGCTTATACGTATGAAAAAGCAAACGTACCAGAATCTTATAGGGATAAATCACCTTACGAAGAACTATAAAATCGGTTAAAAAAACCAGTATGTTGTATATTATTACATCTTTTGTAATTATGTATTATTAATAATGAATTATTAAATTTAAAGACAAAGGCAAACGTTCAAATGAAACTTCGATTTATCAAAAATCTTCAAAAAAAGCTCAAGTTACCAGTGAATCGATTAACATTGAGGAACAAGAAAGAATTTTAAGAATTGAAAATGAAAAGCTCGCCATTCAGAAAAACAAAAATGATGAGTTGGAAAAGGAAATAATGTTACGAGAAAAACTTTAAAAACTTCTAAATAATTAAATTTTAATTCTGTTGTATCAATATGCGAATGTTATATATATTTCGCTAATGTTAATACTAACAAATGTATTACAATAAAATATTGGTAATATAACATTATTGCTTCTTA